CTACGTCTACAATCTACGTAAAATAGCGCCATCTATCACAAATTACAAAAAATTGTGGCTTGTACATTTGCCTCTAGCAGATATACAATATGTAACGTAATTAACGCACACCCTCAGACACCCCAATTAGTATATTATGTTATAATCATAATACATACACTGAATTTTTAGTTAAACATTTTATGCACTAATTATTTATCAAATTAGTTATACTAATTCCGGAAGAATGTTGTGGTCACAGTACAAATCCACGAACGCAAAGACTTTAACGTGCTTGAAATAAAGTTAATTTTTCTTTATTTTATTTAATGACAGAATTAGTAATAATACAAATAAAACTGCAATCTTAAAAGTCTTATTGCCTTAAGTTACGGTCCATTTCAGTTCGTTCTGACTGTACAGATTTAGTGTGACTGTAATTTACGTAGTTTTAATTATTTTTGGGATAAAAAATTACCTATATTAAAAATGATAGGAATCGATTCAGTAAACGATTCTGAACAAACTACTTTCTCAAAATGTGTTAATTATGTTACATGTTGTATAAGCAGCTTACATCTATATATTTAAATAAATCGATTTATGAAATGATTTTAAAATTATAACAGTCATTTTATAAGTTTTTTAGTTATTTCACTAAGTTCAGTATAGATAGTGACATCCATCAAAAATTATAAAATCTGAGATCGTTTTTAGTTTAATTACTAATCTATAAAGAAACCTATTAAACTGATATCATAGCCAAACTCTGAATTATCCTTATAGTTAGAGATTTTTATATATGTTGCGACCAGATCGTTGAATTAAAAGTATCATATAGTATTTGATCATTTCATGAAATGGCGGCATTTCATAAAATTCATTAGTTGATCATAATATAATGACATAGCTTGATCGATGAAACGAGATCGTTTAACGATGGTAGTACTAGTATTTCACTTAGGCTATTTTACTTAGGTTTTAAGCTCATAATATAGTCTGGTAAACCAAAGTAGAGTTTATTTTGTTTATAGCTTTTATTTTTACTTTGTTTTCTTTACTCAATCTTGTTAGTGCATTACTTTTAAATTGACTTTTTTTGCAGTCGGGTTTTGATTTTTTTAATTATTTATTTTGTTTAACTTTTTTAGTATCCTAGCCTATTGTGTAAAGGTTTTTGACGATTTTTCAATAACTATGTGGCTTAGAAAGGTCGATGTATATTTCCTGAAATAAACGGTGTTTATTTATTACATTTTGCTGCAAAACTTCAAAGTATACGGTTCAAAATTAATTGAAAACAGTTTATTTGCTTCGTTTTAGTGATTTGGCAACGGATATAAATAACTATTCTTTTTTTCATATATTAGCACGAGGTCCGATACAAACATTGCACATTTTATATACCAGTTACCAAAAACTTTATAAACCATTTATTATTCCTAATTAAATTTAACCACACAACTTATATTCGATATTCGATAAGTTTGGTTATTTTTTTTAATTAACGTATTACTATTTTGCGCCAAAAATCGCCATTTTATTTATAAAAAAAGCTATCTAAGAACACTTGGACTTTTAAGACGAATAAAACGATACCTTAATTGTTGAAATCTGTCGTAAAGCGACAATTAAAAACAAAAGAACCTAACCTAACAACAACGAAACAACAAAAAAACGAATAATTTATTTAAAATTTTAAAAGATATTTACAGTTTTTTATATAAAAAAATATGAAGATGATGATGGGTGACGTGAATTACAATTATTTTTTTTTTTAAATAACAAAGATAAATGAGTACTGAAACGGAGCCCGAAGAACAAGGTGGCACACCGCGCTTGGCAGTGGTCACCGCTCACGGAGTATGCACGGGCTATGCCTGTGGTAGGTGCGCAGCGCCTGATCTAGGCACACGCAGCGTCTGGAATAGGCACACGCAGCGCTTGAAGTATGTACACACAGCGCCCGGACTAGGCACACACAGCGCCCGGAGTAGGCACACGCAGCGTCTGGAGTAGGTACACGCAGCGTCTGGAGCAGGTACACGCAGCGCTTGAAGTAGGCAAACACAGCGCCCGGAGTAGGAACACGCAGCGTCTGGAGTAGGCACACGCAGCGCCCGGAGTAGGCACACGCAGTGCTTGAAGCAAGCACGCACAGCGACTAAAGATAGCGCGGGCACTAGTAGGTGGAGGCGTAGGCGTGGCTAGACGACGACTTCAGATGAAGGCAGAGGCTTGCAGGATCCCGGGGCAGTGCGGCCCCGGGATAAGGCCTTTAGGAGATGCTTCTAGTTTGAAAGCTGAAGCGAGACTGACTTTATTGGCCGATTGTTCGGCTTTTATACTTTTTTAGAGAGCTCCGCGCTCGACGACGGATTTGTGAAAAGTACAGGAAAATATTTAAATTAAAAGCAAATTTTTGTAAATAGCCAAGAAGAAAAGAGTATTTTTGTGGAAGTTTTGAAGTAAAAATATCAGACCGGTAACGAATTTGAATAAAAATTGCCATGACAACCAGATAAACAACGATGTCAAAACATGTCAAATTTTGGTTTCAGGCTCGTAATAGAGAAACGGCAAGATTTAAGTAAAAAATGAGATATTATTGATATAGGAAAAAAGGTAGCGCAACAGCGCACACGAAGCCCGAAATTGCAGAGTTACGGAGAACTAAATAAAAGATCGAAAAAGGTAGACTCTATTGACACCGATTTAAAAAGTGCTGATAGCGTGAAAATACGAAGTGAAAATGATTTGTTATTGTATTCTTATGGTTTAAAAACGTTACAGGATCCTATGGAAATAAAGGTGATGCAAAATATCCAGTTCTGAGGTGAATGCAGAAAATCAAAAACAGAATGGAAAAATAAATTTAAAATAGTGTAAAATGATATGTAAGTAGCATAACACTACAAATCCACCCAGCTGTTTAAAAGATACGAGGTAATAAAGAAATTTACAAGCATACAAGATCGCGCGAAAAACATAACCCATCCTTGGCAGTCGGGTAAAAAACGTATTGAAATATCCGGGGTGAAAGCTCCAAAATCCGGGGAACTTACGCTTCCGGTCCTGGGGGCAGGTTTTAGAGATGGCTGCGCCAAATATAACTAATATTTCTGAAAAGAACATGAATCTCGATAGGTACTTTTGAAATATAGTAACTCTATACTAACCCCTGCCGCGAAATCTATCAAAAGTGAATGTCTTCATGACCGACTAAACAGACAGTTGATCAATGTATTAATTCGGTGTTAATCGGCTTAGCAATAATTTCACGTAGCAAGAAATTCATTAACTTATGTAATTGTTTGGAAGTAATTGAAAATTAATTGCACTGTGAGATTTTAATCTCATTTCGTGGCATTACGTTGGATGACTCATTACTAAGTATATGTAGTCTACAATTGTGTAAAAGCTTATTTTCAGTTATTAAACTTTATTTAAACAAATACAGCCGTGTAACCCGAAAAAAAGAATGGAAAAAGAAATATTATGTGCTAATTTACCACCTGTTGTGCAGTGGTGAAGAATAACTTCGTGAGAAGCCTGAATGTTTGAGTAGATTTATAAAAAATTGTGGACATATGAAAACCTCTAATACGCATTGAATTGGCTCTTTCCTGTTCACAAAACACTATCAGTAATTAAGACCCCTGTGCACGGTCGTGATACGTATGTATACAAGCTGCTACTTTACTTTTTTAGTTTTAATGAGACCTACAAAACAGTTTGTCATATATTGAGATAGGTAGGTTTCGGATTTTCAGATACCTGTATAAGGCGCCCTTTAACCTGACACTGTAATAGCGATTATTACGTATCTATTAAAATACTAATACCTAGTACAAATAGAAATACATCTTCTTCAACGAATAACTGTTATTTAATCTACGTCAGCTTCAGGCCGTAAAAGTAATGTATGGTGCCATTAGCTCTTAAGATTTTTTATAGATGTCGCTACTAGTTTTTAAAAACGCGATATAGGATTGTTTTCAAAAATATTACACGTTATATGTTTTGTTTATTGTGAATTAACAACGAAACCCGAAATATAGCTATTTTTGAGGCCCTGCCATTGAGCGGTGGGTTTTAATGTGTTGATAATAATAGTACATCGGATCATGATATCGTTAACGTCTATCTATTCTATTTCAGCAGTGTCGGTGTGTCGTTACGTGTAATGTGTATTATATATAACATAATGTAACAGTATCGTTATGGTACCACGGATAACCTTATCGTAACTATATCTATATTTATAACTGTCTATTTGCCATGTAATTGTAACGGCATCTTAACGGTAGGCACAAAATCGAAATTCACACTAAAATTTTTCAATATTGTACAAATATGACATGCATGACTGCTTCTTATTTTCTCCGCCTGCGTATATTTTCCGAAAATGCCAAAAAACCAATGCTATAATAATATACATTATAATATTAACCAAAACAAAATATATGTCATTGGTATTCATACTTGAACTGGGGTGTACTGGAATGACAAGAGAGTTAATGGTAAAAAAGCACAGGGTTGTCAAACGTTTTAAGTGAGATTGCGTGAAGATTTATGCAATTTTGACTATATTTGTTATCCATACTATTTCTTACATCTTGCTTCAAAGATTTTATTGAAAATTTTAAAGTTAAATTACTTTGGGGTTACTGAAATAATTTGTTATCCCCGCTAATATCACATATATTTACTACATATTAAAACTATTTATCGTAATTTTTTATTAGATACTATATTGTATTATTGAAATACATAATTATATTTTATTAGATATTTTAATGAATATAACAATTTTCAATTTATTGTATAATCGATATCGATATAGTCATTACAAACTGTTTACCTACGCGGCCTTAGGGGAGAATATGAAGCTCTCTACTACTTGCGCCAGTAAATGCGGCAAAGGCAAGTCAAGTTCAGCCCGCCAATATAGAACGCGCGGGCCGTAATTATTACTTTATATATTTTATTTATTTATTAAGGAAACAACAATAATAAATTTACATTATTTTATCGAATTGCCGTCCCAAAAATATGTCCGTAATTTCCAAAGTTTGTGGGTCTTTACGCACTTGGATGAAGCCACATTGCTTCAATTCTGAAAATAGATAACTGTTGTTAGTCTATTTTTATTATTAGGTAGTTTATAATGTATTAATGGTTTAATCGGTACATACTGAGTACGGAAGAGAAACAGCGCGCTGCTATGATATTATGTTTTCCCGGTGTTGTTGGGCCGTTCATTATTAACTTATGGATAGTAATCGGTCTTGTCCCCTCCTTTATATTTTGTAAGATTTTCACCATTGTTCCCTCGGTTCCCCATTGGTCACTGTAAATGAAATATATTTTTAAACAAAACGGGAAAATCTCAGAGTAAAGTGCGGTGTGATCATTTCGGATAAGACTATCTTCTAATTTTGTATCAGTTACATAAGTATATATTGTTCTTTCTTATTTTAGTGATAAACAAAATTAGAGTCCACCTGACGGGAAGTGGTTATCTATGACAGTCCATGGACACCTGCCTGCAGCCAACCTCGTACAAAGAATGCAGGTTATGGGCCACAGCATCCACATACCATCAGGTAGACTCTGTGCTCGTTTGTCGCACTTACACTACAACAAGATATAGAATTACTCACAGTATAAATCTCTTGGAATCAGTAGTCCGTTCAGAGTCGCCAAGTGAAACTTTAGTCCTGTCCAGACTACCCAGGGGCGTTCCAGATGATTCAGTGAGGGTTTCCACTTCTATGGGTTCGCATGTTTGCATGTCGGCTAATCCTGCTTCCTGAAGCATCGCCGTAGCGTTCCTCTCAAGTTCAGTGCTTGGAAGCTGTTTATTCTGTGGGATATTTTCTTTTTCAGCCTCTGTAAATAATTTAAAAGAAAAACGTGCCTTGATTGACTGAACAGTTCAGTAAGAAGTTGCGAGTCCTTAATTCAAGCCCAATCGAATTCAACTCCTGTTCAGAAACATAAACGATTGATTTTTTGACCTACGATATATAGAGGAGAAGTGGCATGTAAGAGCCGGTTTACAAAACGGAGCAAAAAAAACATACTTTTAATGAAAGAAATTGATTGGGTGAAATTGAAGAAATTTGATTGCATACGACAAAATCTTAAACGCTTAGAAAAAATCAACAAAATATTCATTTAAAAAAAAGTGTGTCTTATAAAGCCAGTCTGTATTATAAAGTGTAATTGCAAAAATTATGCATAATAATAATAATTCTATTAAAAATAAAATAAAAAGACCGTACTAACAAATCCTTTTTAAAAACTAATGACATTTTTAAGAAATTTTAATTCCATCAGTCATTTTAAGTAATTCTAATAACGCTCAAATCTTAGTATTATTCAGTAATACCTATTATAGTATATATAAAATATATATATATATATATATATATATATATATATATATATATATATAATATATATATATATATATATATATATATATATATATATATATATAAAATCTAAACGTATTAGAGGTGGATTATTTATAATTAATAGCAATGTTGAAAATCAAACAAAATAACAAATATCTTCTAAAATACAAACAAAACATCGTTAAAACTTTAAGAACTTCAAAAAAGATATTGCTCACTTGGAGCTTCAATCTTCACTATCTATTTGCTTAATTTTAAGATTCGGAATTTTTAGGAAACTTTATAAGATAAGATAATGATAAGATAAGATAAGATATTTTTATTTACTCAAACATGTGTGAGATATACAATGCATGGGCAGAGATATGTTCTTGGGTGTTAGTGTTATCAGTGTCAACATGTCTTACCGTCATATTCGGTGTGTAAAATTTAAAGTGATTAGATTGTTAATTTTCATTTAACATTGGCAAAGTCTATCAATATACAAAGTCAGCGAGATTATTACTTACTACAGTCATAATTAAAAATATATGTATGTATAAGGCAATTATATAATGTCAAAATTTATCATTGAGAAAGTCCGTTACAGTGTAGTAGCATTTTTCAATTAGAAGTTTTTTGAATTTATTTTTAAAAAAGATTGCTGTTCAATGATTTATACATCTGAGGAATTTTATTATAGATTTTAGGAGCCATGCATACTACACACTTTCTTAGCAGAGCCGTTTTTGCTTGTTGCAAATACAATTTACTTCCGTCACGACGGTTGCGCTTTACTTTGTCAGTTAACCGTGGAAATAGGTTGGGATTGGCCCTGACAAAGAGAGCCGTCTCCATTATGTATAAGGACGGAAGTGTAAGAATTCTGTGTTTAATAAAATACGGCGCACAACTATCGGTAGCCTGAAGACCAAACATTGCACGGATACATCTTTTCTGACTTTTAAATGCTACTTCTCTGTCAGTTGAGTTACCCCAGAAAATAATTCCATATCTAAGGACAGATTCGACTATCCCATAATAAGCTGTTAGAAGTGCGTCAATGTTAACTGTAGCAGAAAGTCTAAACAGGGCATAAGCCGAACTATTTATTTTTTTATTTAGTTCTAGTATATGGGCTTTCCAATTTAGTTTTTGATCAATTTGTAGGCCGAGAAATCGGGTTGTATCTACTTCAGCAATAACAGTGTCGTTATATTTTACTTTAATATTAGATGGGGTGATTGGTCTTTGGCTAAAATGCATAATGTGTGTCTTATTTAGGTTAATTTTCAAATTATTATTATTTAGCCATGTTATTATTGATATTAATGATTCATTTATGTCATTTTTATAAGAAAAGATGTCATCACAGTTAATAGTTATAGTACTATCGTCGGCAAATAAGGTCATAGGTTGCTTAGTGGCATTTGGGAGGTCATTTACATATACTATAAATAAGAGAGGCCCTAAGACACTGCCCTGTGGGACACCGTATTTTACCAAACGCTCTGTCGATGAGCTTATGTTCTCAGATTTGGTCTTTACATTTAACCCACATATTTCCGTTTTTTGACGACGGTTATTTAGATAAGACTGGAACAAACTCAATACATTGCCCCTAATACCATATGCCTCGAGTTTGTGAATTAAAATATTATGGTCAACATAGTCAAAAGCATGAGTCATATCACAGTATAGTGAACATACCGGTGTTCTGTTGTCAACGTGTGTTATTACATTTTTATAAAAATCATAGAGTGCCATATTTATTGTTTTATTTTTGCGAAATCCTTTTTTGTTCCCTACACAAAATGTCATTTTTTTCCAAATAATCATTAAGTTCATTATAAAGATATTTTTCAAATATTTTAGAGAATATTGATATTAAGGCTATAGGTCTATAACATTCCATTGATTCTTTGTCGGCTTTTTTGAATACAGGTTTCACGATGGTGACTTTAAGTTCATCGGGAAAAATACCCCTTTCTATGCTCAGGTTCATGATATAGCTCAGGTGATGGCAAATTTCTTTATTTACGGACTTGATTATTTTAGTAGCAATGCCGTCATGCCCTACGCTACTTGTGTTTCTCATATTTTTGATAATATTAAATATATGTAGTGGTAGACTTGGAGCCAAAAACATAGAGCCGAGCATGCGTCTGAGGTTTCTATCAATATTTTTTTCCACATCCTTCTAATGGTTTAATTTTGTCAATAAAGTAGTTGTTAAATGCCTCAGCAATTTGTTCAGTATTAGTTATATGCTCTTTGCCTACCCTTATTTTTGATATAGACTGAGTGGGTAAATTTAATCTCGATTTATTAATAATTTGCCATGTTGTTTTAGACTTATTGTCACTTGTTTTTATTTTGTAATTATTTTGGGCTCGTTTAGTCAGATATATAATTTTTTTAAATAGTTTTGTATACTTTTTGTAGTTAAGTTTATTAGCACTAGTTGGTGATTTTCTATATTTCCACAATAAAGCTCTTTTCTTTTTTGCTACAAATTTTTAGTCCATGTGATATCCATTTTGGTTTATAAGTTACTTTTATTTTAATTTGTTTTAATGGGAAACATAAGTTATAGAAAAGTCTATATTCTAGCAAAAAACAATTATATGCCAAATTTGGGTCATTCATAGTATACATTTCAGAAAAGGATAGGTTTCCCATGCACATTTTAAATTTTTGTATGTTGTCTTTACTGTAATCTCGTATTGTTTTGTACCAGTGTTTTAGTTTAATTATTTTTTTAACCGGGAGTTTTATTAATTGTGCAGTATGGTCAGACAAGCCAAATTCCAACACTTCAGCCCTACATGCCTTTCCACAGTTATGTGCAAAGTTATCTATACAAGTTTTACTACTAAGTCTAGTCGGTTGTTTAAGAGCTAATTTAAAATTATAGTTTAATAGTAAACATTCTAGGTTAGACGTTATATTATTATTTTTTAACATGTCAATGTTGAAATCACCAGCAATTAGTACATTATTACATTTTAATTTTGAAGTACACACTAAAAAGCTTTTCTAATTTGTCAAAGAATATATCAAAATTGTTACTTCGATTTGGGACGCGATATATACATATAATTGCAATTTTATAGTCAGTTAGTTCAATGGCACAGCATTCAAATACATTTACTATTGATAACCTCTTAAATTCTAGAAGTTCTTTCCATTTGAGTCCGTTCTTAACTAAAATGCAAGCACCACCTCTGTTGGTGTTCCAAACTTTGGAATATACAATGTAATTTGCTTATAATTAGAAACATATCTTGCAAAATAAATTAAATTTTCCCTT